ATGACTCACTGCAGTCTCAACCTCCCAGGCTCAGCCTCCTTAGTAGTCGCTGGGACTACAGGTGTGCACCACCAGCCCCGGTTAGTTTTTGTATTTTTTTGTAGAGATGGGGTTTTGCCATGTTGCCCAGGCTGGTATTGAACTCCTGAACTCAAGAGATCTATCTGCCTTGGCCTCCCAAATTGTTGGGATTATAGGCATGAGCCACCACACCTGGATGACCTAAGGTATTAATTTAAGAAAGCAGGTGATTCTCAGGGGGGTATGAAGCCAGCATGCCTAGAGGAAGGGAATGCACCACGAAGGTGTTGTCTCCTGAGGCTCGGTCCAGGAGAGGCAGGTCTCTTAGACCCAGTGACAGTGCTCCTAGTGTGCAGATGCACCTCTCTGATGACAAAAGGCAGTGTGGTTGTGATATTTTACATATATAGTTTTTGTTATTGTTGTTGTTTTTGGGATAGGGTCTCACTCTGTCACCCAGGCTGGAGTGCAGTGGTAAGAACACGGCTCACTGCAGCCTCAAAATCCCAGTTTCAAGCGATCCTTCCACTTCAGCTTCCTGAGTAGCTGTAACTACAGGCATGCACCACCTGGCTAATTTTTCAAAGTTTTTGTAGAGACCGAGTCTCGCTATGTTGCCCAGGCTGGTCTCAAACGCCTGGGCGTAGGCAATCCTCCTGCCTCGGCCTCCCTCAGTGCTGGGGTTACAGGCGTGAGCCACTGCACCAAGCCTATATTTGTTTTTTTGTCCACAGTTCCTGGCCTGTAACTCCCATGGCCCTTGTTATAGTGAACACGGTCTCCCTCTCTGAAGTTCTTCCACCCCCCTTCACCTGCTCATAGCAGGATTCTGATTCTGGGTCTAATCTCATTCCAGAGAGGGGTCCGCCGAATACCCTAGAGGAAGGGATGCTGCACAGAGAGGCCAAGAAGAATTTGGACAGACAGGCCTTGGTGGGTTTAGATCTTTTTGTCCAATCCCATTTTGACAGCTGTCCATGCTTCACTCATGCTTACCCAATGAAGTCTCCGCAACAGGCCTGAAAGGACAGGGTTCAGGAGCTTCCAGAGAGCTGAGCAGATGGAGGTTCCTCAGGGATGGTGCTTCAGGGAGGGTGTGGAAGCTGCCCCTTCCCCCATATCTTGCCCTGTGCATTTTCTTCATCTGTATCCTTTATTTTCCCGAGACAGAATCTTGCTCTTGTTGCCCAGGCTGGAGTGCAATGGCACGATCTTGACCCACTGCAACCTCCACCTCCTGGGTTCAAGCAGTTCTCCTGCTTCAGCCTCCTAAGTAGCTGGGATTACAGGCACCCGCCACCACACTCGGCTAATTTTTGTATTTTTAGTAGAGACGGGGTTTCACCATGTTGGCCAAAGTAGTCTCAAACTCCTGACCTCAGGTGATCCGCCCACCTCAGCCTCCCAAAGTGCTGGGATTACAGGCATGAGCCACCATGCCTGACCTGTATCCTTTATATCTTTTATAAACAATCAATCAATAAATGTGTTTCTCTGACTTCTGTGAGATGCTCTAGCAGATTAATCAGATCCACAGGGGGGTCATGGGAACCCCAACCAGAAGCCTGTGGGTCACAAGTTCCGGACTCCTGGACTTGTGACTGGTGTCTGAAGTGGGCAAGTCTTCAGGACTGAGCCCTCAACCTGTGGGATCTGATGCTGTCCCCAGGTAGAGAGCAATGGCGGACACCCGGCTGGCGTCTGCTGCAGAGCTGATTGCTTGCTTGAGGGTGGAGAGAAATCTCCCTCCACATGTGGTCACAGCATCTTCTGTCTTTGTCGATTGCTTTTGGTGTTGATTGAGAGAACAGGAAAAAGCACATTGAATGGTGTTCTTTTTCCCCATATTCAAAGTGGTGTAATGGTTAGGAGGTGGGTTTGGAAATCCCAGTGTGGTGACCTTGGCCAAATTACCTTCTGGCCTCATTTGCATTGTCTATAAAATGGGATCCTCTCAAGCACTCCTATCTCCTCCTGGTGTGCTTGAGAGGATTAAATGAGAAAATTTATGGAAAGTGTTTACTGCAGTGCACGGCATATAGTAAACGCTCAAAATGGTCTCAATGATGAAGATGACAATAATCTGGCTTCTAGGTAGTCACGTGGCAGGCAACAGCTATGCAGATCCTCATAATCTACTCAGGGTGACAGTTTAACATAGGGGTTGGCAATTCTAGCCCACTTCCTATTTTTATAAATAAAGCTTTAATGAAACACGGCCATGCTCATTCATTTATGGATCACGCTGCACTGGCAGAGTTGAGTGGTGGTGATAGAGACCTACGGTCAATAGAACATAACGGCCCTTTACAGAAAAAGTTTGTCATCCTGTCCTCATTCATTAGTAGACAGCCAGCTGGTTCCTGGACTTCACCGAGGAAAGTGCCATATTAAGCAGTTGTGTGTATAAAGTCTGGGCTCCAACATTTGCTCTGTGACCTTGGGCAAGTTACTTACCTACTCTGGGTTCATCATGTTCACAGAGGAAACAGGAGTGATGACAGTGGGGATGAAGTGGGATACTGTCTGGACCATGCTTTGCATAGTGTCTGATGGCTAGGAAGGACTCTATACGAAGTAGTTACTATGATTAGCTATTATATTTCAACTGATGAAAGGCACAAAGAAACTCCCAGGAAGAGGGTCATTGCTGCATGCTGCTCTCTTTAAAGAACGCCCAGCAGTAATCCCCTACAGGGCCAACAAGATATGTGGACATCAAAAGGGAGTGCTCCTATGCAACATACCCAGTAAATTAATGATTTCACTTCCTTTTCAGTTAAAGCAGTGGATCAGAATTTGAAAAGGAGTAAAGGTCAAGGCCATGAGGTTTAACTAACACGACAGCATCAGTGTCTGGCCCATAGTAGGCCCCCGGTATCCACTGGCTGAATGGATGGAGCTGGTTGTTTAACTGTAAAATATACTCTCTGATGATAAGACCACAGTTACCCAGAAGATAAGGTTTCCGCCTCCAATATTTTTGGGTCTTAGAAAGGAAAACAGTGTGCTAAAGATGACAGGAAACTCAAAACAAGGACCTGCTAATGCTTCTCCCAACTGGACGGAGGCACTGTGATGGATTCCTGGGTAACAGATGGGCAAAGAAAAATGTTTAAAAACAAAAGCTGGCACATAAGGTCATGAATTGCCCAAAATAACCTGTGACACTGAGCAGACGGATACGAGCAGTGCACCTGTTGGAAATGAGGCCAAGCTGATGAGCTGAAATAGCCAACCCTCACTGGTGCCCTACGTCCTGCTTCGGGACGCCTCAGCATGGGAAGGAGGCGCGCATCAGCATTATCCGGTTCAGGTTTCTCACATCCTTAGTGGATTGCTTTCATTCCTAAGTCCCTAAAAAATTGGAAACCACTCCACTTACCAGGAGCACGCCTTGGAATGCAGATCTGGAAGCTATTTTTTCCTTCCAGACATTTCATGACTCTGGTTTCTACACAGCAGGCGATGGTAACGCTGCCAAGTTTCAAGAGAAGGGCACCTTATCTGCAAAGTCACGAATCCAAGGATCCAAATGGGCTCCCATTGGCAAGGGCGGAAGGAAGTTGTTTGTCTTAGCTTCTCGAAAGATCAGAAGAAGATTGGGAGGTTTAGGGTATACAGGTACCTCGTTGTACCGTGGTGTGCCCCCCCCAGAGGAAAGACTGCCGGTAGCTTCTCAGAATCTGTAGTGGGTGGGGCTGTGTAGCAGAGTGTCTTAGTAAATGCCCATTTGGTTGCAAATGAACAGAAACTCAAACCAGCTGAGGCAAACAGGGAGCATCTATGGGGAAGAAAAGCCAGTTCCTGACGTCCAAGCCTGACTCTAGCTTTGCTTAGCCACTGATTTTCTAATCTTCCTCACTTCCTTCCAATAATCTCTATTTAAGTTAGCCACAGAAAGTATCTGTTGTTTACAACCAAGGGATCTTGAGTGATACAAAGGGTCCTAGTGGAACCCAAGAGCAGGCATTGGAATTGGCCTTCACAAAGAAGGAAACTGGGAATCAGAAAGTCATTGGGAATCAAGGTAACTTTCTCCCAGGTCAGCTGAGAATGTATTCAGCTTCAAATGGCAGAAAACCCCATGTGAGTAGATTGTAAAAATTTGGAGCCCCTCCCATACTTACTCTGGCTTTATCTGATGGGATGTTAACAAACACAAGGCAAGCAGAGACTTGAAAAGTGCTTGTGCACTGGGGCCCGTTCTCACCTGCTGCTCTGGGGAACCGTGGCCACCACATGTGAACGGGCCTAGTCCAGTGGGCTGAAGGATGAGTGGGCGTGCTGAGCAGAGACAAAGGGTTGCAGCGGAAGGCCTCTCTAGACCGCGTTTCTCAACCTCAGTGCTGTTGATATTTTAGATCAAATAATTCTTTGCTGTGGGGAGTTCTTTTGTCTATTGTAGATCATGTTTAGCAGCACCTTCGGCCTCTACCTAGTAGATGGGCACCTGCCCCTCCCTCATTGTGACAACCAAAATTATGTCCAGACATGGCCAAAGTTCTCTTGGGGGACAAAATTGCTCCTTGTTGACAAAACTACTGCCCTAACCCAACTCGTCTGCCAAGGCCAAGTGCGTGAAAGAGGCCATTCTAAACCACCCAGCCCCAGCCAAGACAGTCCTGACAGGAAGTGTGTAGCTTGACCCATGGAATCAAAAGAAATAATAAATATTTGTCTTTTTTTTTGAGACGGAGTTTCGCTCTTATCACCCAGACTGGAGTGCAGTGGTGCAATCTCAGCTTACTGCAACCTCCGCCTCCCAGGTTCAAGCGATTCTTCTGCCTCAGCCTCCCGAGTAGCTGAGACTACAGGTGCGCACCACCACGTGGGCTAATTTTTGTATTTTTAGTAGAGACGGGGTTTCACCGTGTTGGCCAGGATGGTCTTGATCTCTTGACCTCATGATCTGCCCACCTTGGCCTCCCAAAGTGCTGGGATTACAAACATATACACCTGACTACAGTGGCTTAAATAGATAGGGATTTATTTGTCTTATACAACAGGAAGTACAGAGGTAGGCAGTTCATTCATGATTCAGAGCTCAGCGATGCCACTGGGTGCCCACCCGGGCCTTCTTGCCCCTCCATTCCACTATCCTTTGGCCTGCTGCTGGTGTCTGCTGATCCCCAAGGTGGCTGCTCCAGCTTCCAGTCAGAGCTCCAGGGGTGAGAAAGGAGACAAGACAAAGGGACCAAGGGTGAATGCTTTCTCCTAGAGAAGCTGGAAGGGAAGCCCTCCACAGGGACTTTTCCTTATCTGCCATTAGCCAGATTGGTACAATATGGCCTGCCCTAGCTGCAAGGGAGGCAAGAAAATCACGATGATTAGCTTTGAGCCTACACGGTAGAGGAAAGTGATGGCTGAGCAATGATTACGTAGATTTAGTATCTGCTGAGGAGCTGTGGTGTCTGCTGCACTGTCTCTCTGGGGTTCTGCGGGTTTTTGTCTCTCCTTGTTGCATAGGTACTCCAGCGTCCTTTTTCTTCTGAAGACTGGCTTTGTTTTCATGAACACGAGGGGGAAAATGGTGGCCGTAGCCCTGGAACTGCATGAAGACTCTCAGCTCTATATTTGGGACTATGGTACAGTCTAATACTTTCATGTATTAGGTTCTTGAACATGTCTGAGATTTTCTAGAGTATTTGCAAAGTCAAGTTATGCTCCCCTTTCTTACTGACTTTTTATTTATTTTTGAGATGAGGTCTTGCTCTGTTGCCCAGGCTGGAATGCAGTGGCACAATCATAGCACACTGTAGCCTCAACCTCCTGGGCTCAAGTGATCCTCCCAGCACAGCCTCCCAAATAGCTGTGACTACTGGCACACGCCACCACATCAGCTAATTTTTAAGTTTCTTGTAGAGATAGGGTCTCACTATGTTGCCCAGGCTGAAATGGAACTCCTAGGCTCAAGCAGTCCTCCCGCCTCAGCGTCTCAAAGTGTTGGGATTACAGGTGTGAACCACCATTCCTGGCCTCTCACTGGCTTTAGACCCTAACCACATGTAAGATGTGCCTCCTATGCAATATCGCTCCAAGAATTTGCCCTATTTCTCCCAGGTTTAATCCGCTTAAAAAATACATTTTTTTTAAATTGTGGCTTTAAAAAAAATAAAAACAGTAGGCCGGGTGTGGTAGTTCATGCCTGTAATCCCACCACTTTGGGAGGCCGAGGCGAGCAGGTCACATGAGGTCAAGAGTTTGAGGCCAGTCTGGCCAACAGTGACACCCTGTCTATACTAAAAATACAAAAAATTAGCCATACATCGTGGCGGGTGCCTATAATCCCAGCTACTTGGGAGGCTGAGGCTGGAGAATCACTTGAACCTGGGAGGAGGTGGAGGTTGCAGTGAGCAGAGATGGTGCCATTGTACTCCAACCTGGGTGACAAGAGTGAAACTCCGTCTCAAAAAAAAAAGTATTAATGACTTCCGGCTCTTCCAATTTTTTTTTTTTTTTTTTTTTTTTTGCTGCCTGGCCACACAAGAATGGCAGTGAGGGGACGGATGGATGGAGAGAAGGCAGGGCTTGGAAGCAGCAAAGAGTACAGCAAATGAGAATGGAGGTCTCTCCAGGCACTGTGCTGAAGGAGCTTGTGACCGGAGCAGCGTGTGCTCTTTGGTGACTAGGGACTTGGTCTGTCCTTGTGGCCTGGGATGGTAACAACTAGGCCATGTGGTGTATCAGAATGGACAGTGTGAGATGGAATTAGAAACCTGGGTTCAAGACCCAACACGAGTTTACTGGCTGTGTGATTTTAGGCAGGCCATGTAAGTTCTCAGGGCTCAGCTTCCTCATCTGTCAAATGGGGAACATAATACTATTCACCTCCCAGCGCTGGGGGAGGATTAAATGAGATGTGTTTTGAAAATTGTGGAGTGCTATATAGATGTTAGTCATTATTACGGAAGCAATAAAACGATTGGTGTTCTAAATCTATTATAATAAACAGATTTTTTTTTTTTTTTGAGATTGAATCTTGCTCTGTCACTCAGGCTAGAGTGCAGTTGTGTGATCTCGGCTCACTGCAACCACCACCTCCTGGGTTGAAGTGATTCTCCTGCCTCAGCCTCCCGAGTAGCTGGGATTACAGGTCTGGCTAATTTTTGTATTTTTAAAATATATATCTATATATATTTTATTGCATTTTAGGTTCTGGCGTACATGTAAAGAACATGCAGGATTGTTGCATAGGTACATACATGGCAATGTGGTTCACAAAAATGGAATGCTCCACGAATTTGCATGTCTTCCTTGTGCAGGGGCTATGCTAATCTTCTCTGTATTGTTCCAATTTTAGTATGTGTGCTGCCGAAGCAAGCACAATTTTTGTATTTTTAGTAGAGATGGGGTTTCACCATGTTGGCCAGGCTGGTCTTGAACTCCTGACCTCAAGTGATCCACTTGCCCTGGCTTCAAGTTTCACTGGTCTTGAACTCCTGACCTCGTGATCCACTCACCTTGGCCTCCCAAATTACTGGGATTATAGACATAAGCCATCGTGCCAGGCCATAAATGAGATTTAAACTCGCTGTCCCAAAGCCCTGATAGCTCCAAAGTTACAATTCTACCTGAGGATCCAGGGTAAGTTTCATGTTTTCTCAAGTTTGAGTCTGTCGGAACTCTTAGGAGTTTTGATATTTGGGTACATCATGACCCAATGTGGAACCACATAATTATATCTACGAGGCCTGGACATCTGGGCTACAAACTTCTATTCTTCATACACCTGAGTTTGTGTACATTCATAGGTGTTTTGTTTTTTTTGTTTTTTTTTTTGAGACGGAGCCTTGCTCTGTCGCCAGGCACCAGGCTGGAGTGCAGTGGCGCAATCTCGGCTCACTACAACCTCCGCCTCCTGAGTTCAAACAATTCTCTTGCCTCAGCCTCCTTAGTAGCTGGGACTACAAGCATGTGCCACCACACCCAGCTAATTTTTGTGTTTTTTAGTAGAGACAGGGTTTCACCAAGTTGGCCAGGATGGTTTCGATCTCCTGACCTCGTGATCCGCCCGCCTCGGACTCCTAAAGTGCTGGGATTACGGGTGTGAGCCATGGCGCCCGGCCCATAGGTGTTTTTTAAAAAGAACCCTTCTCCCCACACACTCCAAAATATAATTTTGTTCAAAATACTGGTCTAGAAAGCGAAACACCAGGGTAACAATCTTTAAAGTCCTACAAAAGCAACTCAGTATTTTGACACAGACGACATGGAAGAGTCACATGAACTCACAGAGGGTCACACGAGGCCTGGTGGGATGAGGTTTCTCTAGTACCTTCCACGAGGCTTCGAATGCAAAAGGCTCTGGCTGGACTTGCTGGAGGTCTCTTTTCTCAGCATCTCTCTTTCTTGGTCCCTCTTTAGGGTGGCTTTTCTGGTTCCAACCTTTGACAAGCAAGAGAAAAAACACACAAACTCCATTGCAGTGAGACTCCAATTGTTCCACTCAAGTGGTTTTGTTATTTTTTATTTATTTATTTTTAAAATGAGGAGGACTAGACACTTCCCATGTATTTTATTGTATTTATTTATTTACTTTAAAAAAATATTGAGACAGAATCTTGTTCTGTTGCCAGGCTGGAGTGCAGTGGAGTGATCTCGGCTGACTGCAACCTCTGCCTCAAGGTTCCAGTGATTCCCCTGCCTCAGCCTCCCAAGCAGCTGGGACTACAGGAACATGCCACCATGCCCAACTAATTTTTGTATTTTCAGTAGAGATGGGGGTTTCACCACGTTGGCCAGGCTGATTTTGAACTCTTGACCTCAAGTGATCTTCTCACCTCAGCCTCCCAGGGTGCTGGATTTATACTTAAGGGATTACAGGCGTGAGTCACCGCATCCGGCTGGTTTTATTATTTTTTTAAGAGATAAAATGATTCATCATTATCATCTTACTCAAAGATGAGCCTTAGTAAGGTTTTGGGGTGGCCGCTCCAGATACACAGATATTGCTTTCTCTTTCTCTATTCTCTTTTTCTTCTCTTTTTTCTTGATGCGGGGTCTCACTCCACTGCCCAGGCTGGAGTGCAGGGGAGCGATCCTGGCTCACTGCAGCCTTGACCTCCTCACGCTCAGGTGATTCTCCAACCTCAGCCTCCCAAGTAAGCTGGGACTACAGGTACGCGCCACTATGCCCAGTTTATTTTATTTTATTTTTTGTAGAGACAAGGTTTTGCCATGTTGCCCAGGCTGGTCTCGAATTCCTGGGCTCAAGTGATCTGCCCTCCTTGGCCTCCCAAAGTGCTGGGATTACAGGCGTGAGCCACCAAGCCAGGTCTATTTACATATTTTTTAGTTTGAAACCTAAAAAATATGGGAGGGGGGTTGTTATGGCAAGCACATTCGTTGTGATGGTGTTCTTCCTAAAAAGCTGTTAACTGAACTGAATGTGTCTAATGTCTCTGATGGCTTAGAACTGGGTGTCCAATCTTTTGGCTTCCCTGGGCTACACTGGAAGAAGAATAGTTGTCTTGGGCCACATGGAAAATACATGAACACTAACAGTAGCTGATGAGCTAAAAAAAAAAAAAAAAATTCCTATAGTGTTTTAAGAAAGTTTACCAATTTGTGTCGGGCTGTATTCAAAGCTGTCCTGGGCCTCCGGTTGGACAAGCTTGGCTTAGAAGGAGAAAGTGAAGTATGTTTAAGGGAGGGTCTGTTTAACCCTTTGAGGACCTCCCAGCTCGAAGGAGGGGGCATTCTGGTGGCCGGGTGTATGACCCCCTCCCAGGTCGTAGCTGATTGGACACTTGGCACAGCTGGGCTTTTCCGATGCCCACTCCCAACAGTTGGGGTAATGGGTTGTGAGATGCCACTTGCTCCCTGGGCTGGCCCTTTTAACTGCGGGCCTGGGAGGTTGTCCCTTCCTGTCATACAACTGGAGAGAGAAGAAATAAGCAGGGGGGCAGTATAGAGAGGGGCAGAGGAATGACATAGATACATGTGTGTGCTCCAGTGCATGCATGCACGAGACGATGCCTGGGTATCTTCCTCGTTCTCTCCTGGAGCTTTAATAAGGCACTTATTTCTGTATTCTTATAAAAGGCCCCCACTGCGCCCCCTTTCTGAGTAGGTTTTTGTTAACTGCAACCCAAGGTCTCTCGCCCACACAATTCTGGAGACACTGGGGACACTACTGTGGTTTGCAGGTTTCTTTCCAACAGGATTCACCTTGCCAATCCCGTCTCCTGCAAAGCCATGCCACCAGCCTTCAGGCTGCACGTATACCTGGTGCAAGAGGGCTGGGTGGCCAGTCGCGTTTCAGCTCTGCCACTTGCTACGTGACCCTCAGTTTCCTCATCTGTCAAACAGGGATGAATGTGGATCCTGCCTTCCTCAGAGGGCGGAGAGGAGACTCTGGGAGGATTTCCGTGGAAGGGTCTGTTAGGACCATCTCTTAAGCTCTTTGCACCTTAAGATGGATTTAAAAATCACCTCCTTCAAGCCTGTAATCCCAGCACTGTGGGAGGCCGAGGCGGGTGGATCACGAGGTCAAGAGATCGAGACCATCCTGGTCAACATGGTGAAACCCCGTCTCTACTAAAAATACAAAAAATTAGCTGGGCATGGTGGCGTGTGCCTGTAATCCCAGCGACTCAGGAGGCTGGGGCAGGAGAATTGCCTGAACCCGGGAGGCGGAGGTTGCGGTGAGCCGAGATCGCGCCATTGCACTCCAGCCTGGGTAACAAGAGTT